CCTCAGTTTCCCCGTGGGAGACCAGTGCAGGCCGTGCTCCTGCCTCCCCGCCGCTGGAGTCCAAGTTTGGCATCTGGCTTGGCCTCCTCAGCCCTCATCTCTGCCCAGATCTGCACCTCCCTTCTTTCTGCCAGTGCCTGGGCCTCCTCTGCCAGGAGGGAGTCCCCGCACAGCCCAGAAGGAAGGTCCTGGAGGCGCGGGGTGCGGCGGGGGAGGTTCTGGCCTGCGCCTGGCACACAGCGGGGCCTGGAGTCTCCTGTCCCCACTCAGCCCTCCGGGAGACAGCCACGTGGCCCCCTGAACCCTCTAGTCACTACGTCCTGTGTCTGACGTAGCTCTTGAGGACTCCAGGGGACTGACCCAGGGACAGGTGAGACATTGGGCCCAGGGTTTTTTGTTTTTGTTTTCCTCTGGGTGACACATGCTCTCCGGAGAGACAGAGAGAGACAGAGAGATAGAAAGTGAGAAATCACCCCCCGCGGGGATGGCCACACCACAATCCCTTCTCCTCCATGCTCCTCTCGGGATCTTGGGCACGCACGCACACGTGCCCAGTGTGAGTTTAAGCCACCGGGTCTGGGACTCAAACCACGGTTGACTACATGGGAGTCCAGCGACATAGCCATTACACTAACTGCTGGACCCAAGGGCCCCTGGTTTTAAGAGGCTCTGGGGACAGATGAACCCCTGCCTTCTGATGCCCGTCTAGGGAGGGCTGAGCTCCGGGCACCTCACCCAGTCTCTGGCCGTCTCTCTGTCCCTGTGTCCTCCCAGCCCAGTGAAGCCCAGAGAGCTGCCGCCTGGACCCAGAGCCCTCTCCCTGCCTCTCACTGGTCTCCCCTGGGAGTGAGCTCATGCACCCAACCCAACCATGGCCCTGGGCCTCCTGTGTGACTGTCACAGCCCGCACGGCAGCCAGCCCTCTGCCCGGACCCAGGGGCTAAGGGACCGTCCCCAATACTGTCCCAGTGTCTCTCAGCAAAACTAGCCTCTGACCCCGCTCTGCCGTCTGCCCTGGAGGTGGGGAATGCCACCCATCCATGGCCAGCCCCAGTGCAGAGACCGGGCCCTGACCATTGTGTCTCAGGGTGGCTGCTGTTATCCTAAGACCAACCGGCCTCCCCCAGACCCCACAGAGAAAGGGAACCATCTGCCGTAGAGCCGACATAGGCAGAGGGGAAGGTACCCCCCGAAAGAGAAGCAAGCTTTCTGGACACGGGAAAGGGTGGGACAGGCTGGCAGAGGTCTTGAGAGCCACTTACCAAGGACGTGGAGCTGGGTCCCACTGCCAAAGACAAACCACGGTGACTCAGACCAGAACCCGTGCGGCCAGCACCTGGGGCCTGCTCCCTGGGGCACGGGCCTGAGCAGGAACCTAGGGCTGTGATGGGCACAGGGCTGCAGCAGGCAGGGCAACGTTCTAGCTACCGGGCAGGTGGGTGATCCGTCCCCCGGAAGCCGAGATCACCCCTGAGTGGGCCCCGGTCTGGAGGAGTTCCCAGGACTTTGCCCCTGTTGGAGTCTGGTGGTGCGCATGGCCTGGGAGTCCCCCCAACCCCAGGGACGGCCTCTCCTTTGCCTGCCTCAGAGCCTCCCCAGGGCTGAGAACACGCTTCCCAGGCAGCATGTGTCCAAGGGATTTATTTATTTATTTATTTAGCCCTAGGGCACGTGCACTCACTGGAGAGAGACAGAGGAGACAATGAGAGAGAGAGTGAGGAATCACCCCCCAGGGATTAGCCACGCCGCAATCCTTTCTCCTCCATCCTCCTCTCGCCATTTGGGGCACACAAGCACACACACCCAGGGTGAGGTTCAAACTGTCAGATCTGGGACTCAAACCACAGTCGGCCATGTGGGAGTCCAGTGCCTTAACCACCACACCACGTGGGTGGCCCCTTCTCCTCCATTCTCCTCTCAGGATCTTGGGCACGCACGCACATGTGCCCGGCATGAGATTAAGCCACCGGGTCAGGGGCTCGAACCTCAGTCAACTACATGGGAGTCCAGTAACATAGCCATTACTCCAACTGCTGGTCCCATCCAAATAGCAACATCTTAAATAAAGCTAGTGTCTGCCCAGTCACTGCTGCCCTCCTTCTGGTCGCCTATTCCAGCCTCCAGTCCAAAGGACCCACATCCCCCTGGGACTCGTGGTCCCTTACCTGCCCCACTGGCTCCGTGGGCTGGACCGGCTTCCTGCCCAGCCCCGGGGGCCGCGGGCCTCTCTCCGTGGTGCCGTGGTCAGGGGCAGCAGGCCGTAGGTGCCCACGACCAGGCCCAGCAGCAGCAGGGGCCGGCGCTGCCTGGGGTCAGGGCCCAGCCTCCGGGCGGCCTCAAGGCCCACCTGGCCGGTTCTGAGCCTCATCTGCCTTCACAGCCCAAGGCAGCGCTGACCCCCTCCCTGGAGGGCCTCCCTCGTCCCTCTTGCTGGCAGTCACTCCCCAGACCACCTCTGCAGTGTGTCTGGGCCTCACCTTCAACCTTCTCTGGTCCCTGCCCCAGTTTAGCCTCCGCCAGGGCCCAGGACTGCCACACCTCCGTGTCTCTCCCAGAGGGACAGTTGCCAACTGCCCTGCTGTGGTTGGGAGCCAGGATCCAACTGCCTCCCACTGCAGTTGCCCACCTGGCCCTCCCCTGGGGCCCTGGATGGGGCACACGTGGCCCACCCGCTTCCTCAGGTCCCCAAGGGGCAGCCTGGGTCTGTGGAGCATCTCCCTGAGGCCTGGGGGGTGGGCGGGAGGCATTGAGAAGTGGAACGGAAGTCCCCAGGCTTGGGTTTCAGGGGTGGGGCTGGGCTGGGCGTCTCTTCTGCTCGTCCCCCAGGCTGGGCCTGCCCCACTGCACTCTGGCCCATCCAGATCAGCCCTCTTTGGCTGGATTGCTGAACCTCGCCAGCTCCCTCTGCCCTCTCCTGAGTCAGGCCAGGGCCCTGCAGGGAAGGAGCAGCAGGGAGACCGTGAATGCGAGTCCGTCCAGACCCAGGTCACCTCTGAGCCTCAGTTTCCTCATCTGTAAAGTGGGGAGAGAGCCCTCTGCACCAGGGAGGTCACCAGGATAAACAGAACCATGTGTTTGCTGAGCACCCAGCGGGCCCCTCTTTGCTTTCCTTTTATCTGGGCTTCAGACAGCTCTGGTGTCCTTGGGGCGAGTGTCGCTGTTTACAGATGAGAAAACCGAGGCCCGGGGGTGGGAATGCAGGGCCCGCGGTGGCTCCAGGGTGCGTACAGGGTGAGCTGGGATCTGGGAGTGAGCTTGGCCCCTGAAGTCGTCACCCTCCTCCCACCCGCAAGGCTGGCACCTTCGGTCCAGTAGCCAGCTCCGAGTTCTTCTCTCCGAGGAGAGGGCTGGGCGGGCGCTCTGGGCTGTGTTCTGCTCTGCAGCCCAGAAATGCACGACACAGTGATGACAGAGACGCTGTCCACCCTGCCTGAGTGCTCCACACGCCTCCACTCAGGAGCTGAGGCCACCCTCTTCCCTCAGTTCAGGGTGAGGAAACTGATGACCTGCTAGATTTCTTACTTTCTTTCTTTCTTTCTTTTTTTTTTTTTTAAGAGAGATTTTTGCTATAGGGCTTGTGTACTCACTGGAGAGACAGAGAGACAGAGAGCGAGAAATCACCCCCCAGGGGAGATGGCCATGCTGCAATCCCTTCTCCTCCATTCTCCTCTCAGGAGCTTGGGCATGCACGCACACGCGCCCGGCATGAGTTTAAGCGGCTGGGTCCGGGACTTGAACCGCGGTTGACTACATGGGAGTTCAGCGACATAGCCATTACGCTAACTGCTGGTCCCAGAGCTCCAGATTTTAAAGGACCCACAATAGCTACACCCGTGACCAGAACCAACTATCTATTGTATGCCCCACCAGGACAAACCAATACATAGACAGTTTTCTTTGCTTGGACGTGGAAGCAGTTTGGAAGTCGCCAGGTGGCATGGTGGTTAAGGGCTCTTGACTCCCACATGGCCGACTGCTGTTCAGGTCTCAGACCTGGTGGCTTGCTTTCTCACTTTCTCTCTCTCTGTCCCTCTCCAGTCAATTAAAACAAACAAACAAACAAACAAACAAACAAGACATGGAAACAGTTTTAACATAGCCCCTTGTGAAGCTACAATGTAACAAAAGTACTACCCAAACATTTATAGCTTGTATAAAAAAATTCCACATCATGGGGCCAGTAGGTGGCCTGGTTTTCTCCCACATGGTTGACCACGGTGTGAGTCTCAGACTTGGTGGCTTGCTTTCTTACTTTCCTTCTCTTACTTGCATACATGCCGTATAGGAATTTAGAAAAACA